CAATTCTCTGGTTTCGAGCTTTCACAAATTTCTAACCATTATGGAAACTTTTTTTGTTTTGTTTCAAAAACATTAGGAGCTTGAAGGCGAGCGAGTTAACCGGTACCATAACATCTGACATTTCCAAGTTAACACAGTTGAGCACGTTGTAAGCATCCAAATTGTAACATCAATAAACTTAGTATTAGGTATGCTTTACTGCAGTGGGAGAAGGACAATAACTGTGCAATTTGTTTTCTACTTTTCTCTTCGATATGCAGAGACTTGTCAAACAATGATTTATCAGGAGAGATTCCAACATTTTTTGCTGACATGAAGTTGTTGAAACTCATGTGAGTTTCTGAATGACTTTCCATATATTGGTTCCCTCAAGCTCTTTTTCTGAAAGATTCAATCTTTTCATTTGCAGAAACTTAAGTGGAAATCCAAAACTCAATGACTCCGTTCCAGGCTCTCTTCAGCAAAGGATAAACGATAAATCTTTAACACTAATGTAAGATGATCAAACTTCACTTGATTCAATCTTAATTTTTTTTTAGAGTAATAGAAATTATGTTTACATATAGTGCCAGACTTAACTTCTAATGTTTAGTTTTTGGCTTTCCATCACTCTTATTGATTACAGTTTAGATGAAAGCCAAATCAAAAAAGAGAGTAAAAAGGTTCCAATGGTTGCTATCGCAGCACCAGTGGCTGTCGTATTCGCTCTGCTAGTTATATTGGCTATCTTTTTCGTCGTTAGAAGGAAAAATGGGAAAAGTACCAAGGGTATGTATGAATCACCTTATATACCGGGGTTTCTGATTCTACTCTATCGTTTTAATTCGATTTTGTATTATTTATACAGCTCCAAGACCCCCATCAGTCACTCCCGTTATAGTTAAAAGGGAGACAAGATCATCCTCAATCATATCAAAGGACCGCAAGATCTCATATCCCGAGGTATTGAAGATGACTAATAACTTTGAGAGAGTTCTTGGTAAAGGAGGGTTTGGAACAGTCTATCATGGTAACTTGGATGATACTCAAATAGCTGTCAAAATGCTCTCTCATTCATCAGCTCAAGGTTATAAAGAGTTCAAAGCAGAGGTACTTTAACAAGATATAGTTCCTGCTAATC